AGGAAAATAAAGGATTAATCATTTCTAAATTAATTGTTAATTGACATAAATATTACGTTTGTTACGTCATATTCGTTTATCAACTCGAAATAGTCACAATGGAAAACACTAATGGGGATCATCTCTAATTAATTCGTCTTGTTAATCGACGACTTCGTGGAAGAGGTTCGCCGCCATTTTGAAGATCACTTAAACTAAATCCTAAATTTCTATTCGGTCTTTTTCTAAATGATCAAAAAGAACGACAAACGATACGAGATAAACGTCGAAAAAACGACAAGGGAATGGAAACGAATTACTATACAACGTACGAATACGTTTAATAATACGACTTATATGGTTTCTTTTTCGCTGCGCCGTGCGGACCAACGCAAAACGGGTAATATGATTTCAATGAATAATCTCTTTCTCTCTCTCTCTCTCTCTCTCTCTCTCCCTCTCACGCGCTCTATCTCTTTCTCTCTCTCTCTTTCTCTCCGTATCAATAACAGTGCGCTTGAAAACATGAGGAATAATTAACGAAAATTTTAAAAACAAACGTGTAAAACATGAAAAAATGAAAATAAAGGATTAATGTAAAAAAAAAAAAAAGAAAAAAAAGTTGTTTCGAACGTTTTGGAATTCTTAAAACGAGAAACGAAAAACTTAAAAACTTGATTCCGAGTAGATTCGATCATCATCACCTATAAAAAATGACACAACTTGTTACGTACTACTGAATAAGTATGATTACTGAAATAGATCGTTTCAATAAATGGGAAACACTTGAGGTTAAAGAGTAATTCGAACGTCCTTCAAAAATTTCAATGCAGTCTTGGCGCTCTGACGTCTTTGTGCAATCAAACATTGGTGTGGAAACTAATGGACAATGTTTCAAACATGACACATGACGAGACGATAATAGAAAATGAGAAAAGAGCCGCCCTTGACAGTGGACTGCCATCGTAGGTACTTTTACGACGTATAATATGTGTGTACATGTATAATATCTCTCGTGTGTACGTGTATACGTGTATTCATACTTAATCGCAATAGTGTAAGTCGTGTGTAATATTTAAGATGTTGATATATTCGTAGGACACTTTCAAAAAAATCTAAAGACCGAAAAACGAACGAAAAGTTCATAATATAAAAATGTCGATTCGTTTATTTGTCGATTTATTTGTCAAGTCGTAATTAATTTATGCGTTGCATTGGATGAAACGAGCTCTCTCTATCTCTGTCTCTATCTTTATCTTCTAACGCAAATAAATAAATCTCAACCGACATTTTTGCATATCAACTTTCTCGTTTGCTCTCTGGCCTTTAGAATCTGAAAGTGTTTCGCGAATATTTGAACACCCTATATATATATATAATATATGCATCTGCGCGCGCGAAGGTCCTTACGTCGATAAAAGACACTATAACATTATATATGTACATTAACATGCGTATAGAGCTATCCTCGGGGACAAGAGGAAAAAGAAAAATAAAATAAAACAAGTAAATAGAGTAAAACATGAAGATCCATCCGTTTCGAACAAGCGGGAACCATAACGTAAGTAATTTCAATAGAGAGTAGTCTTGAAAGAGATTTTTAGGCTATTCGGAGCATAAGATAATTCTCATGGTAAACGCTGGTGAACGAATGCAGGGTCTTTGGTTACGAGACGCATTGCGTCTCCTTAAGGTAATGGCACTACGACTTGCACATAAGTTACTGGGAAATAACCCGTACGACCGTTCAAGGTACCCTCGAACCAATTTTCGTCGATTTTCCTGGTCAGAGTGATCGTATCGTTCTCCTGGAAGCAAATATATGATTACATTAGTTTTTTATCATTCAAAATGATAATTATAAGATATATTTATATATGTGTTAATAATGGCTACGGTTTCTCATCAAGTCTTAACAACATTTCAATTGAAGTGTTTTTACATTTTGTAGAAACGATAGACAAAATTTGAAAGGAATTATATATTTACTTTGAAGCCGAGTTCTCCAGGATTTTCTGCTTCGAAATCGTACAAAGCTGTGCAACATGGTTGTCTTGTCATCGGAGTCCTGGCTGGCGATTTGCTTGGAGATGGTAAGGGAGAAGCTGTAAAATATTAGAATTATAATTATCTTACAATTATAATAAAAATACAACAGATGAAACAAGACATGAGGCTTGCTGCAATAGCTTAAATTAAAACACTACGTATTTAAACATCTGCTCGATTATTTGAATCTTCAACAAAATGATATATGTAATGCAAAATTAAATGTAATATTTGACGCTTAAATTAAACAGCTGCTGCTCACTAAAATCTAAATAAAATTACAATGTTACAATTACAGCGAATCACATTAATATTTGAATATATAGATAACATATATCTGAATAAATTAATAAATTAATAAATTAATAAACATCGTGTATTATTAAAAAATAAAGTAAATAATAACACGATCGTGATATTCAAATTTTATCGTGAATCACTTCGCTAATTATAATATTTTTGTATAAAATATATAAGATAGCACACATAAAAAGAAAATACGATCAAAGCATGCGAATAGATGATCGTTTTAAATAGCTAAATTAGAATACATCAATAATATACAAAAGGCAAAACAGTAATTACTTTCTTGCCCTGTTTGCGGTGCACGAAAAGCGATAGAATCGAAATTGAATAATTAATTGATCGATCGAATCCTACGGTAGGAAAAACCAACCCCATGCAAAATTTACCATTGGCAGATTGTGGCGGGTTTCCGGCTGGAAATAGCTCGAGCTGCGAGCGCTTCCCCTCCACATGAATTGGAGACCCGGCTCGACTTGCCCCTACATCGTGTCAGAAGGACAGACATTCAAGTATACGAAAGTATACACACACAACAATCGAGTAACGTGTATGAAAGTGTTAGAGATGAACTTAATAAAACAGTTCGTAAATCAATATGTACACAATTCACAAGTGTACATACAATTGTTTTTAAAATTATTGAAAATACAAAAAAGTTATTCGTTGTAAAAGTTATTAATTTGAAAGTTATTTAATTTGAAAAAGAAATAAAATAAAATATATTTAAAGAGTTAAGTAGATAATACGTATAGAGATTTTATTTTAAATTGAATAACTTTTTTACATTTCAAACAAAAAAAAAATAAAAACAAAGATTAAAACTATTATTAAACATCAAACTTAATGTTATTATATATAAGATTACTAACATGTGTAATTAGTTTGGTCTACTTAATTTTATTTTGATCAACTTTCATAATGAAGTCAAAATATGATTTTATCAACTTTTATACTTTACTGTCATCTTCATTATATGAAACATTGTTCCTAATTACATTAATGTATGTGTATATATCTTTTTAAGTGCATAAGATTAAATAAAGTTAATGTCCATCTGACAACTAGAAAAATGGCAGGGGAAATTCAATCAGGAAAGAGTAACGACAACGTATACGGCAATAGTGTATAGTTGCAGAACATGTAGAGAGATGTTGCATGACAGAGGGAACAAGAAACAGACAGCCAATCCACCCGCAAGTATCATTATTTTGTATATGTATGTGTGAAATGTGTTTTACCATGGAGGGAGAAGTTCCCACCGTTCATAGCATCCGATGTAGGTAATCCATCGACGTGCAAATCGGCCAATGTTTTCGGTACAAATTCCAGTTTTGGTTTATTCGCCGCTTCGTCTTTTCTATAATTAAAAATAAAATAATTATTGTTACTTTATAGAATTATTATGAATAATAAATGAAAGATAATTTCATAGTAATTTCTTAATCTAAAAATTGAAAAAAAAAGAATTCATATAATATCATAGTTAATTTAGATTACATAAATTTAACAATTCATTAGTTAATTGACACATACTTCTCTAAAAGTGTCTCTGTTAATGTTCTCAGAATTTCAGTACATTGTTGATGATACTCCAGAAGAGCTTCACTGAATGTTGCCAACTGTGCCACTTGTTCTACCTAAAAATAAAATAATTCAAGTTTACATTCATTTCGTTTCAATGAAAAATAATATTGTTGTCAATTTATTTTTCACTTACGTCATTTTCCAAAAGATTGAACATGCCCAATTGTGCTAGGTGGAGACTCTCAGCGAATTTTTCCTCAGCTTGACGAATCTCGTCGTCTGAAACGTGAGAACCTGCTCGCAAAATTTGCGCCGGTGAAAATATTAAAAATTGCACTACTGGGTTGCTTCAATGCCTAAATTCGATACATAATAAAATAGCACAAACAAAAAAGAATAAATACTAGCAAAATTAAACCGTGTGAATCTAAATTTCAATTGTACAAGTTCCTTCCTTCTCTAAACGCAAGCATGTACAAATATTAAATTTTCATATAAATTATATTGAATACAATGCATTCAACATTCGCAATACCTTTGATGCACTTATGAACATAATTATACTTCTTACAAACTACACTTAATATATTTATTATTAGTATTTTCATAATCTGAATTATTTAATCTAATTATGTATTACTACAATACTAAAATTACATGTATCTATTTAAAAAGAAATATATAAACATCAAAATCTAAAAAAAAAGAAATTATTCTAAGAGAAGAATTTATTCTAAAAAAAAATCATAATTCAACATTTTTACTATTATTTACTATTATACTACATTTACTGAGATACTATTAATGAGAATTTAAAATATATATTTTTTAAAAATTTAAAAATTGAAATGTCGATAAATTTAATTATGACTATTACTATAAAGCAACTAACGGAAAATTTATTAATTATTGCACGTGAAAAAATCACGCACCAGTATACGGTGATGAACTTTTCGCTGGACTTCCAAAATGAGGACTGCTAGATCTTTTTCCGGCTAATGATTAATAAGAATATGCAAATAAATGAATGAAAAACGAAATGTTTTTCTTTGCTTTTTATACAAAACAAAAAATGAAAATCCTAATAATCAATATTTTACATTCAAAATTATCTATAATGAATAAAATTATAATCTAAGTATAATATCAAGAATATTTTATCTCTTCTGTAAAAATTTATACGTAACAAAAACATTGTTCAATATCTAATTACTTAATTTAAAAAAAAATTGAAAAGATTAAGTTTAATATTCTTCGAATCGTATCCAATATGATAAAAATCCTAACCTATAATCTAACGAAATATCTCGCCTGATAAAATAAAAAATTATCATTACGATGATATCCATCAACTATATATAATCAATAATATAATTAATCTATGATAACGTGCACATGCAGCAGAACATGCGAATGGAATGCCTGTAAAATAAAAGAGACCCGTAAATATTAAGAATTACAAACAAAGGAAGAACGCGTGTAATATCATTGGATGGAACAACAATTTCTTTCTTTTTACGCGATACCTTTCTCTAATTTGACGATTTATCTTCGTAATACGGAAAGACACGAATATATATATATATACGTATATGTTTATAATTGCAAACGGGCACGCGTCGAGTTTTCGTGTTCGTTGCAAGGACGCAACGTATACGGCCCCAACGTGTTGTGCTTAAATAAATCAATAAATGTCGCGGAGAGATAAAGTCAACTCGCGGCCAAGTATACCTTTCGCTTGACGTCTTCTCTTGCAATCGAAGTCCAGCCTTCGTCCCTGAAGTTTTTTCCGGTGATGCTGAAAACAAAAGGTTATATATCAGTCCCATTCACGAATATTCTCTCCCTTTCCTTCCTTCTGATCTCGTCGTATTCTTGTCGCGTTAAACTGGGACAGCGCTACTCGACGGAGCAGAAGAAAGAGAACTTTTTTTTTAATAAACCACCACCAGCCTACCATCACTTCTTTCAGATCTTTAGTCTGCAAATGGTGCAGAGGCTCAAGGAAGTTTTGTTTAATGTTGTCGTCCAACGAATATTTCACGTCTGCCATCTGCTTCATCGCCTCGCCCATTTCAATGAGAGCCTGAGCTGTAAACAGGAATTAGAAAAGATAAATGAGCCGAATCTTTGTCAGCGTTCAGATACATACTTATGCGTCTACTTTGCAGGTTGCTTTGCAAGAAGTTGCAACTTGTACGGTCAACGTAAATCTTCTAAAGTTAGAGCAAAGGTAAAGAGGTATTATTGATAACGAAAAATCTTCAAATTATTTATATCGAATAGATTAAACTGCTTGTATCTTTGAACTAGAAGATAGGATATTTTTTTTTTTATATATACCTGAGAATCATTCAAAATAATTTGACGTTACTTTTTATTTTTCAAAAAAAACCGTGGCTCGAAGCATCTGAATATAATGCCAGATGAATTTTAAACGAACGTACCAAAAATACTATCCTCCCCTAATTTCTTTCCATAAGTAAGCATACAATCGCCGAGAACACCTTCTGGCTGGGGATAAGTCGAGGCCTTCGCTTGACCGCTGAGCTTGCTGATGCCCTTGACCGCGGCCATCTTCGCTCTTGCTGTGGGATTTGGCTGAAGGAACTCTTTCGTTTTCATTTGTAACTCCTCCACCAGCTCGTACGTGACGTCCGTTTTCTACGATTAAAGTTTTACCACCCTGTACATTAGCTAGTTCCATCCAGATAATACAATTTTTATCTTTATTTCTTCAGCCTCCTCATTCGTAAGTTTCGTAAGTAATAAAGGATTCAAGCAAGAAACGAAATTTCATGAAACGATCGGAAAATCGATTCAAGGTTAAATGAATGAAACAGGAACACTTCGTGGAAACCTTAAAAGTGTAGAAACACATACTCACCCTCTCCATATCCATAAAGTCGACGTCGAGCTTGGTTCCTTCCGCTCCGCCCATCTTCTCAGTCATATACTGAAAAAAAAATAAAAATTGATCAAATGATAAAAATCCACGAGAGAAATAGATGATAGCAAAATTTTAGAAAAAGTACTTTGCTCCTCGATTTTTTCTTTTTTCTTTTTTTGTGTTATTCTTTGTGAATTAAATTCCATATATTTTCGCTGTCTTTAATCAAAGTCGTTTTTCGAGGGATTAAAAATTAAATGTACTCTATAATGATAAATTGATACACAAGAGTGTTCCATTTTGAAACTTTCAACGTATAATCATCTTCTAAACTACTCGTTACTTCGAAAGATGAAATAAGTAGAATTTATTTTGCATAAATTGCATAAATTGAAAGTTGTACGTTATATGGAACACGATTTCCTGAATAATAAATTCCTGAAATTATAATAACGATATTTTAAATCCGTTCAATTCGATCAATCGTTTTCCACGTATAATATAATTTTCGTTTCAATTTTCTCCTTAGATATTCATTCATAAGAATGAACAATCTCTTTTTTTTATAGGATCCAATTTGTGAAACCACTCTTCTTTGTGTGAATTTTATCCAATTTAAAAAAAAAAAAAAAAA